ATATTCAATATATCGAATATATTCGATATATCGGATATATTCAATATTTCGAATTTCTGTATCATCATACTAACTAAATATGGACTAATCTACGGTAAGTTTTCTAATTATACATGTTTTGTACTAATAAAAGAACTAAACAAGAATCTACAACTAAAAATAGGACATCGTACTACGTCGAAGCGCAGTATTTCCGGAGGGTCAAATCTGACCTTTACAACGTACGTACAGTACGTATAGTACTGTACGTGGCACATCACTATATATACTGTATCTCATTAAACTTTAAATTAAAAAAATCATCAATACTCACCATAGTAATAAACCACGCAAATAATATATATTGAAATTATCTTAACGAGAAAACGTTCTTACTCAGCTGTAATAACGAATAATTACGATAACTAAGATCATGCAAAACGAAAGTAATAATATCGATGATTACACTTTTGCTATGAGATTACAGCAAAAGCTTTATGAAGATTATAATGGATTAACTCATGAAATAGGTTAATTATATTGTTATTACTTACCATCGAATGTTATTTTCACATTAAAATAAAAATATACTTTATAAAATTTTAGAACCGCCTATAGAAAATAAGAATAAAAGCATGTATTTGTTTTTTTATTCATCTAAATTATAAAGTTTTTAATAATGATAATAACAAATGTAGTACACACTCTATCTTCTCTATATTTTACATGAATTATTATTATGATTTTTTTCTTTTTGATATAAAATTTTAGTTGCAAGTGTCGCAAATAATGCAGAAAGTGCAATTGATGATGATTACGCTACTATGCAATTGCAAGAAATGTATAATAAAGAAAGAAATGTAACCCATGAGGATGAAGATTATGCTTTTGCTATGCAATTGCAACAATTATATAATAATGAATTAACCAACAATAGAAATAAAGAAAGAGTTATCACTAAGGATGACTATGAAGGTGAGTTTCCTTGAAGTTATATGCAAAGATGAAAATTATTATCTTTCCTAAATTAGTTTTATAATTTAGATTTAGTCCCTCAAATGAATAATATTTCATTTGAAAACAGCGGAGAAAATTCTGAAAAATTTTCAAACAAGTCTACCAATAAAAAAGGTGGAGACAGAAAGGGAGAGTCTTATAACGATAATTTTTTCCAAAGTGATGCAAATAAATTTGACGATGATCCACCTCCTTATTTTTCTCAAAGGTATTCAAGTAATAACTCTGGAATGAACAATGGTTATTTTCCAGAGCAACAATTCGTACCTCCACAATTTCCACAACAAAACTATCAGAAACAAAATACTACTCCTAATCAACCCAATTATCAAGATATGTTTGAAATGTTCACTCAATTCATGGGAACATTTCAAAATCAAAACCAGAAAAATTCTAATCAACCTAATTACGACGCGTATAATAATAATCAATCAAGATATTACACAAATAATAATGACGCGCATAATGATAATCAATCAAGATATTATACAAATAATAACAACGCACATAATAATAATCAATCAAGATCTTACACGCATAACTTTCAACGAAATAATCGGGAACCAGGTGTCTTCAAAATTCTTTTATTGGGTGGTACTGGAACCGGAAAGTCCACTATTATCAATACGATGACAAATTATTTTTTAGGTGGTACTCTTGATGAACCAAAAATTGTTATTCCCACAAAATATTTTAAAGTTACTGAAAAAGGTATTATCATTATCAAAAATTTTAGTAAAAATTTTTATTAAAAATTACTTATTCAAAATTATTATTCCATTTTAAGAATTCCTTAATAAGGATTCAGAAACTAAAATTGACGATGTAACCAAGAGTCAAACTACAAAATGTCACACTTATAATTTCAATCATCCTGATCATTCTGCCTATAAATTTATCCTCATTGATACTCCTGGGTTAAGCGATACAAATGGTGTTAAGCAAGATGATAAGAATATTCAAGAGATCATAGATGCTGCAATTGACGCTGGTTCTTTATCAGCTATCGTAATTATTGCAAATGGAACTGAGTCTAGAGTTACTCCATCAATCAAAAATACTTTGGTTCAATTGGCAAATAATCTTCCTGATGATTTATTAGGTAATCTTTTGCTTGTTTTGACAAAGTGCACAAAAAGTAGTGCTTCTTTCTCAGAAGATGCTTTTTCAAAAGAAATTGCAAAGCCAAAGGTTAGAATTTTTTGGTAATTCTTTTAATACATAATAAATTATTATATTATGGTATTGATAATTTTTTTTTTTTTACTAATTTTAATAGAAAATTTTTTATATGGATAATCAATTTTTCTGTACTAACCCTCAAGTTTGGAAAGATGACGATGATGAACGTATCACTGTCGAATTTAATTGGAAAAAGTCAAATAATACAATTAATAAGTTATTAGAAACAATTGCTGATCTATCTTCTACTTCAACTAAAGCCTTTGAAAATATGAAAGAATTCAGAAATAGAATTAAATCCGAAATCGTTAAAGTAACTCAAGACATTGCAAATATTCAAAAAGTTCAGGATAGTCTTGAGGCTGCTCAGAAAGCCTTGCAAAAGACTGGGAATCAAAAGAATTCTTTCGCTAATTATACAAAATCTGAATCAATTACTATTAAGAAAGTCGTTAGCGCTAGTGCTCATAGTACCGTTT